CGTCACATGTGGTTGCCGCAAGCCTCCTTCGTCGAATCCGCCGGCCGCGCCGTTCTCAAGCCCACCGGCCGTCGCTCACTCTAGGCCACCGCCGCTTACTCAAGCCCGCCGTGTGTGACGCTGTGTTTCGTTGTGAAAGCGAAACTACTTTGTTTGGCCTTCCAAAAGAGGACACGACTAGAAATCAGTGGTTAAGTTGTATTTACAACACTGTTCCAGAACAGTTCAACCCAAATATTCAGATGTGTACAGCACATTTTATGGAGGACTGTTTCCTGATCCTGTGAGAGTAGACTACAATGCCGGCTGTTCTGACTCACAGACTGTAAGTAATTTTTTTTTATATTTAAAGAATTTACATTTACATTTACATTTAGTCATTTAGCAGACGCTTTTATCCAAAGCGACTTACAAATGAGGACAATAAAAGCAGTCAAAACTAACGGAGGGAACAGTTAGTGAAAAAGTCTGTGAAAGTGATTTTGTGCCTCTTTGAGATGGCACAATAATACGCCGTTCACTTGCAGAACGCAAGCTTCTAGAGGGCACATAACTCTGAAGTAATGAATTTAGGTAAATGGGTGCAGAGCCAGTGCTGGTTTTGTAGGCAAACATTAATGCCTTGAATTTAATGCGAGCAGCTACTGGTAGCCAGTGTAAATTGATGAACAGAGGTGTGACACGTGTTCTTTTCGGCTCATTAAAGATTAATTTGCCACTGACGATTCAAACGTGAGTTTTTGGCAGTGTAGAGTAGCGCTTGTTGTTTGTCATTTCTCCGATCACAAATGCAGACAGGGTTTTATGTTTACAAAAATACAGTATAAGTCATTATAATCAGTAATTATGTCCCCCCAGTAATTATGTTTATAATGGATTTTAATATTTTTGTCTCGTCGCTCCGGCCAGACATGGCATCACAATATGATAGGGGCGTAACATTTCCGTCACACGCTTGAGGTATTCGGCCAATCACAATGCACTGGATAGCTGGCCAATCACAGCACACCTCACTTTTCAGACCGATGAGCTTTGTAAAAATCACAGAGCTTGTCCATAGAGGAGAAACAATAAAGTACAGTATGTGGAAAATAGTGTTTTTTTAACCTTAAACCGCATAAACACATTTCATTACACCAAATACATAAAATAATGTTCTTGTTAGCAACATCATATGACCCCTTTAATGTGTCATTTTTTAAAACTTCATTATGATCTTGTATAGCATGCATTTTGAGAGACTTGCACAGCTGTTTATTGTAATAGAAGGTAGTTGGTGCATCAACACATTAGTCATTTTGACTGTATATATTTTGAAGGCATGTGAACTCAATTTCCATCTCAAATTTCACCTAAAATATTGTAAATGAAAAATAAAAAACACACACACACATGAATAAAATACACATGTATTTATAAAATAAACAAAAATTGTATTCTACACACATATGTTAATTTTAGGGTGAAATATGATATTTCTTGATGTTTTTTGTGAGATTCACCCAGAAGATGTGTAGATCCAAAAAAAATAGTCTGCTGTAATAAGTACTTAAAGTGAAATACTATTAATGAGTTAAAGAGAATTTTCTTGTTTTCATTTCTAGAGCTCTTCATCAAGCAGCAGTCTGAGTTTTATGTGGATCATCCTGAAAAAGTGGATGGGAATGGGAAGTTAATCTCATACTCTTTATCACATCACTTCAGGCGACATAAGAGGGACCTGAATTCAGCAGAGAGGCGAGTGTTTTACAAACTCAACTACAAAGGTCAGGAGTTCACTCTCAATCTAACCACCAATGACAATCTGCTCTCCAACGAATATGTGTTGAAGAAACACAACAGGAGTTTAACAGAAAAGCGGTCGCAAACATCTGGGAATATAGCCTGCCACCTTATTGGCACGGTAATGGATGGTAACGAGCAGGGAACCGCCGCCATCAGCACCTGTGAGGGACTGGTGAGAATTATCTGACTTAATCTGTCACTTCTTTTACGTATCATGCAATTCATTTCTGGTGTGAATTCACTTACTGTACTTGCGGTAGTGCAGATATTGTCATTGGTTGAATAGCTCACCCAAAAATGAAAATGTACTCACCCTTAGGCCATCCAAGGTGTAGATGAGTTTGTTTCTTCATTGGAACAGTTTTTCACTGCACGAGATGTTAACTGATGGACTGGAGTGGTGGGGATTACTTGTGGATTATTGTGATGTTTTTATCAGCTGTTTGGACTCTCATTCTGACGGCACCCATTCACTGCAGAGGATCCATTGGTGAGCAAGTGATGTAATGCTACATTTCTCCAAATCTGTTCCCATGAAGAAACAAACTCCTCTACATCTTGGATGGCCTGAGGATGAGTACAGTTTCATTTTTGGGTGAACTATTTCTTTAATGTCAACATCAAAATTGACCTTATTTACTTTCTTAATGCATATTCCTGATTTAATTCATCAGTGCATATTATTTTAAAGAAAACATCTGTTTTTCTCTGAAAAACTTTTCTTTTCATCCAATATCATCTATTGGTTAATGTCGACGTATGTTCAACATAACATTGTTTCAACATAACAATCTTTCTATCAGAGGCTTTTATTTTTATATATATTCAGTCTTCAGTTTAATTTTAGTTTATGTTTTAATAATTTGGTGTGCTTTTAAAATATATATCATTATTAAATATTCTATATACAGTAATAATAATCATTATTAAATATATACATGTATATATATTTTTAAATATTTGTATGTAGCTTTCATTTAATTTTATTTCAGTTTTAATTATTATAGTTCTTCAACTTAAACAACCATTAAAAAAATAATATATTTCGTTTACATTTTTAAGCTTTTTCAACGAATATTTAGAGTTTTTCATCTAATATTTAGATTTTATTTGATTTCAGCTCTATTTCAATTAACGATAGTTTAATTTTTTGTTTTTGTTAACAATAACAACACTGCTAGCGAATAGCTCTCATAATCCTGGTGGTTCCAGACTGAACAAATGCCTGGAACGACATTGACTGGCCTGTTAGACTCTTGACTCTTTGGCCCCTGATTTGTTTTCAAAAAGAAGTCAGTGTTTGGCCCTCAGAGTGACTCTGCAAAGAAACAGCAGCATGTTGGCCGACTGTATCTTGTGTCCACAGAGTAGATCTGAAAGAGTTTATATTTTCAGATAATGACCGTCTGACAGTAAATTATGCCACATATGGAATGGACATGAAATATTGATCTGAGTTCAAATGATTTTCAAATCCAAGAAAGAAAAGAGTTGGAAATGAGCTATGTGGCAAAACAGTCAATTATACTATTTAACATTATTATACAACAATATTTAACTGCAGAAAGCCATGATTGACCGATCAGAGAGCCATGTAATAAGATCCAACAGTAGCCTGTTATTCAGAGTGGATGCTCATAAAAAGTGGGGAACTTGAGAAGAACTGTAACCAGGTCAGTGTGTCAGCACATAACATGACTCATTCTAACTTGGCAATTGAACAAAAAGTTGCAAAGGGGGAAAAGAAGAGAGGCAGAGTGAATCGGTTGTTTGTGAAAGCACAGGAAAGAGTTCTAGACTTTAAAATGAGCTTTGATTTATTAGACGCATGCATAATTTGCACAAGTATGCATGCAGTACCTGCACTAAATGCTTTCTCTGTCTGTCAGTCATTGCCCGAGCATGCATGCTCCTCCTGTAAGGTCGCGTTAATGTCAATCAACAGCGCTTCATTGCATTCTTGTGTTATTTTTTTCTTCCAAACATTCGCTGTCAGTTTCTGTTGCTACTACGCTGAGATTCCATTAACTTGTATGCATTTACTCCTCAGACACTCCTCTGCGATATTGTTGTGCAGGATGTTGAGACGATGCCAGGTGCTTTTGCTTTTTAAAGTGGATAAAGTCAGGATTCTTTGCCATGTGTGTGACCAAACTGAAATGCAATGAGGTGCAACTGATTAGTCTAGTGTGTTTATGCCCTGCCAACATGCACGAATTAAAAAAAATAACAATGTGCTAATGTTTTGTGCTGTGCATTTGGTGTTGGAGCAGTGACCAAAAACTACACTTTGCAGAGCTTGTGGAATGTTTCCTGTAGTTCTTAAAGGTTCCCTGAAATGCTTAGAAACACGCAGCGTTACTCTGTGTTGACGTCATTTTAACTGAAACAGGAAGACTTTAAAATAGCCAATAGCTTTCGTTTATGTCACAGCTTGTGCTAGAGCCGTTCAGAGCCGTTGAGCTCCGTAAAGCCGCATTTGACAGGGTATGCCAGCCACAATCTCATCCATATTGCTATAAAATACAGCATTCTGTGTAGAATTCAAATAGCTCCCATACATTTTGTGGTCTGCGGCGACTCGCGCATGTGATCCGCTCCATGTTATCGTGTCTCTGGACCGGAGCAGAGTGTGTGTTAGCGTGACACAGCACGAAACCAGACTTCTTTTTTTTCCTCAATGGAAAGCATATTTACACTGTTTAAATCATTCCCTGTCCCCTATATAGTGCACTTCGTGCTATTCACTGTACAGAAAATACTAATTCTGTGAACAAGTGACCGATTTCAGCCGCGGCTTCAGCGGCGGGGCTTCGGATTGAGAGCATTTGATTGGACAGAAAGTTTGATGAGAAGCTGAAGTACGATGTGACGTCAAAAAAAATCGTTGAGCCGTTTTGGCGGAAGCTTTGAATGCTTAAATCTTCTAAATGTGAATTTTGTCACTGTTTTGGAGCACATAGATAACCTTAAGACTAACATATTGATACTAACACCCAAAAAACTTTCATTTTGATTTTATGGGGACTTTAAAGGAATAGTTAACCCCAAAATAAAAATTATGTCATCATGCTGTAATTTTAACAAAAAAATGTTACTCCTTTTTTTCATTAGAGAATTTATAGTGATCACCATTATTTTGCAAAAACATTGACTGTGGTAATTACTTTTACCATCTTCTATTTTTGTCCAATCAGGTTGTCCCACCCCAAACTCAAGCCATTGGTTAAGCCGAACGTTGACATTTCGGACTGCTTTAACAAACAAAAGAGTACTGTTCAAAAGTTTAGGGTTTGTAAGATTTTTTTATGTTTTTGAAAGAAGTCTCTTATTCTCACCAAGGCTGTATTTATTTGATCAAAAATACAGTAAAAACAGTAATATTGTGAAATATTACTGCAATTTAAAATAACTGTTTTCTATTTGAATATAGTTTAAATTGTAATTTATTCCTGTGATGCAAAGCTGAATTTTCAGCATCATTAATGTAGTCTTCAGTGTCACATGATCCTTCAGAAATCATTCTAAAAAACAAAGAAATTGATACATTTTTTGATAAATACAAAGTTCAAAAGAACAACATTTGAAATAAAAATATTTTGTAACATCATAAATGTCTTTACTGTCACTTTTGATCAATTTAATGCATTTTTGCTAAATAAAAGTATTAATTTCTTTTAAAAAATCTTTCTGACTGCGAACATTTTAACAGTGAATGATCTTGAAAGCAGAGCCATTATGTGTATTCTCTTACTTATAGTCATCTCTACACATTAATCTAGGATGGGAGAAAGTATTTTAGTAATGCGGTGCATTTCATAGCACAATAAACCGAACTTTAAGATTGTTTACTGTTTGGTTTATGGTCCTTGTGAAACCCTCATTAGCACTGAACTATGTTGATTCCTTTCCTGTTCAACTTTTGTTTCAAACCAGAGCAGTTACAGATAACCATAACTACCTGTCACTGACCCACTCTGCATTAGTCATTAGATCCATACATTCTTCCTGCCCTCCAGAAAGCGTACGGCTGGTTTTGAAGTGCTATACTGTAGTTTGAAGTTCCCTTACATAAGATTGAATGCCTATATATCCTTTTTGAAGTCCTACCAAAAACTGCAGGAACTTGGGAAGCCAACACACACATGGCTTCTGTATTTAGCAGTTCAGCTTTTGTTTTCATAATGCCCCCTGACACCAAAGCTCACGTTTCTGCTGTAAGGAGCAGATGAGGAGAGAGAAAGAGAGGATGGGCCAACAAAAGACGGAGATTAATTAAATGTATTTTTTTTGCATGTGTAAAAAGTACTTTGGCAGCAAAATGACAGTTATTATATTGTATTTTATATATATATATATATATATATATATATATATATATATATATATATACTGTATATATGGGTCAAAGATGAAACCTTTACAGCTTTAAATTTTTTTCTCTGTATAGAATGTCCTGTTTAATAAAAATTTTTTATCATTTAAAATATAACTAAATTAAATACAATCACGTATTATTATATATATATTTTAATAAATACAGGTCAAAATAAGTATGTTTGATTTTTATATAAATATATTGGTTACGTTGAATAACATTGGAACATTTTTCATCCATATTTTAACATTTTATTTTCACAAAAGTTATTTGAAACGTTAAAACAGACACTTTGTTTGCATTTAATATGCCTTCTGTATAAAAAACACTTTTAAATTTAATTGATTCGGACACCAAAATGCGACATCTCATCTTATATATAAAAAGAATATATATATATAAATATAAGTAATATTTGTAGTATTTTGTTATATATTAACTGAATGATTACAATATTTATATACCATGGTACTAATATGGTACATTTATTTTATTTCTTTTGAATTACTTTTTAGTATTTTGACTGAAATGTAATATTTGATCATGCATATATCATGGTATTTTGTGTGCAGTTACAGCATCAGATAGTTATTAACTATTTAATAGTTAATGATTTCAAGTTCATATACCATAGTATTTCAATGTTGATCCAAGGTACTTCAAAGAGTACTGTAGTACTATCATGGTGATGGGCCCAAAAACATGGCATTGCCATGATGCATGTTCAAAAATCTTGGTACTTGTTTGTAGCATGAGAGATTTAAAATAATAATTTTTGTTAGGACATATGAGAATTCAACTGTTCCTCTTTCAAGATGCATGTCAGGAGAAACAAGAAATAGACAAATGAGACACTTGTTGACATACAATAATAGTATAGCAGGTCAGATTGTTTGGTTTTGAAAGTATTCAATGAGAAATGTTTGAGTTCATATTCTGATCTCTGAATTTTGATGGCAGACTTTGGTATCTTGGCAAATCTGAGCACAGTTTAAGACATTGTTGCAATATCTTCTGAAACTCTAGAGGAGACACTTGAGATTACTGCACTGTAAAAAAAAAAAAGACGATTTTTCGAAGTTGTAAACAAAGATCCTTGGCATAAGTTTTTCTACTTAAAATTTCACCTTTAATTTAATTTAGTGTTACTTGTGGTTTCTTTGTAATTATTCATGAAATTTTCTAACAAAAATGTACTTTGAAACAATTTTCACTCTAAGAAAAACCTTTAAATCTGAGAATTAGTTAAAAGTAAATCACAAAAACAAAATCTGTGGAGCAGGAGACTTAAAGGGGTCATATGATGTTGCTAAAAAGAACATTATTTTGTGTATTTGGTGTAATGAAATGTGTTTATGCGGTTTAAGGTTAAAAAAACACTATTTTCCACATACTGTACATTATTGTTTCTCCTCTATAGAGAAGCTCTGTGATTTTTACAAAGCTCATCGGTCTGAAAAGCGAGGTGTGCTCTTTCATGGGATCACGTGTGTGATCGGATGAGTGAGCGGGCTTGAGTGAGCGGAGGCGGGCGGGCTTGCGGCAACCACATGTGACGACCCCGGGCTGGACTCCGCTTCGTCCACGGTGAAAGCCGATCCGGCGATCCACAGCGCAAAGTTGATGTATTTCCTCAGCGACCAGCACGGATCAGCTCCAGGCATGACGAAGCAGATATCGTCCTCTTTAGGAAGACCAAACAACGAAATACACGGCAACAACAATACTACAGCGAGAATCAAAGTTACGCCTTCTTTCTTTGCGTGAACATTTGGGCGGTGTTATGCAAATCTTCCCACATCGTGACTATGATATGTGGGGGCGTGTTAGAACGAGCCGTTTTAGGTAGGCATGGTTGACTCTTAACTTTTATAAAGAATATCTCTTTGGATTTGAGACTTTAGTCTTTGCAACTTTACAGATCTTCTTTATGCACCAAGAGCTTGTAACACCCCAAAGAGAAAGGAAAAATTGAAATTGCATCATATGACCCCTTTAAATATTTACTCTTCATTTATGTCTAGGAGAAGCAAAGAGATCTCATTTGTGATTTTTCTTTCTTTTGAGGACATGCGTAAGAGTGCTGTTAGAGTCTCATGCCATAGCTGTGTATCACAGACATGCATGTTGCAGTGGTTAGTATTGTTTAGACTCTGTGGATGATCGACTCGGCTGAGTCAATAATATATGGAGTATTCCTCTGCCCTTCCACAAATTCTAGTATCTGTTTTGTGTTATGTGCAGCCCAGTTTCAAAATATTTGGAATGTTTTTTTCTTGACACGGTTTATTTAGTTTGTGCTAAACACACACACACACACATACACACCTGTTTTTGGCCTGTGGGACTGATTCATTTTACAGGGCGGTGAACGAGTGCATGAAGTGCATCATGAGAGTCATTCTCATTCCCGTAAAGCTGGGATTTCACTGCATCTCCAAGAAAACATGGCGATAATAGAAAAATGGCACATTTCAGAGATGTTTCAGTTGCCAGATGAAATCTCATGGGTTGAAGCGTTCAGAGTTCAAGACATATGGACACACACTTTAAGAAGACTGTAAAGAGTGAATGTGTAACCTTATTTGGCCCTTAAAATGTGAGGCTAACACATGGGTTAAACATACGTTTGTTCAAAACCCTAACCTTAAAGAAATAACAATGATGCTATAGGATTGAATTTAAATTGATCAAAAGTTCAATCAATTGATCATGACAGTAAAGACATGTATAACATTACAAAAGATTTCTTCAATAAAATTTCAAATAAATGCTGCTCTTTTGAACTCTGTTCATCAATGAATATTCTGAAAATTCAGCTTTGCATCACAGGAATTACATTTTAAAATATATTCAAATAGAAAACAGTTACTTGAAATTGTGCTAATATAACTGTTTTACTGTATTTTTATTACCTTGGTAAGCGTAAGAGACTTTCAACATTTGGGGAACCATCTAAGAACATTTTAAAAATGGAAATAACCGTTTTCATATACTGTCTACAGTACCATACCTTTTGAGGAATGGAAAGATTCCATGGTTGTTAAAGATTCTTCATGGAACTATAGATGCCAATAAAAAATAAAAAGTGTAATACTTGCGTTTCAAGCTGCATGGATGTTTGACATTTCACAGATGCATTGAATTCATTATAATGTATTTGTTTTGTGTTTTAGCCTGTGCATGTGACACGTTCAGGCACACTGATAAACTTGCTAAAGACCCTGCAGTGTGGAGAAAATGCCAGGACTGGCAAGCACTTGCAGGGAAGATTAACTAACAGGGAGCATGACAGGAAAAATACCTTCCCTGAATTCACTGGAATTCCAAAAGATTTAAATAATGAGCCTTGACACCTGAAGTATTATTACAGTGCAAACTACTTTAAACGATTTCAACAAACCCTAATCCTTAAGTATTAACCACTAATGGACTACAGACATGAATGATACTGCAAATCGTGTGGCTTGTTGAAGATTTGGGTTGTAATTTTTATAAGCTGTTGGACGTGCCATTTTCAACTGGGGGATGATAAAATAGGCGAAAAATTAGATAGACTTAAACTGAGTGAGAGAAACGTACAAACCTGAACAACTTTTACGGCCAGGTTTGATACTTTGAACTGCACTTCTGAGTGTGAAAGATTGCTCAGGAGCCTACCCACCCCTGAGCAGCCACATTTTGTTCTCCTCATGGTGGGAGACGTCTATCATCAGCTTAGGAGGTGCAATACTGGCAAGGCCCCTGGCCCAGATGGGATCACTGGAAGGCTGCTCAAGAACTGTGCCATGGAGCACTCTCCTGTTCTCCATTCACTCTTCAATGAGTCATTACAGACAACAAATCTCCCCACCCTCTGGAAAACAGCAACCATCATTCCTGTCCCTAAGAAACTCCGCCCTTCTGAGTTGAATCATTACAGACCAGCAGCACTTACCTCCATAATAGCAAAATGCCTTGAGAAACTGGTACTGAACATCATCCTCCTGGTCATCTCCCCACAGCCGGATCCTTACCAGTTTGCCTACAAGGCTAAAAGAGGAACAGAGGATGCTCCCCTGGACCCTCCTGGCTATTATGCCAGGATTCTTTTTATAGACTTCAGCTCTGCCTTCAATACGATTCAGCATCACGCCATGATAACCAAACTTCATCAGCTTCATGTGCCACCTCTTTTCACTATGCTCTCTCTCACCAATAAAATACAAGCTCCTTAAAATCACTAACACTTCCTCAAAAAATAATTGGTCTTCCAACTCCCAGCTTGTCAAACCTCGTTGACACTGCAATCACTCGCAGAGCAAATATCATAATACAAAATCCTAGCCACCCTCTCTATTCGTGCTTTACCCTTCTCCCTTCAGGCCGCAGATTCAGACACTTACCTCACAAAAAAGCACACCTTGGGAAGAGTTTTGTGCCCTCAGCTGTAAGAGCATTAAATTCACAATATGTGTAATTTTAAATTTACACTGTGTTTGATGCTGCTGCCACCTCTGAATAATGTGTATATATGTGTGCAGTATGTGTGTTTTATGTGTGCTGAATGTTGCTTCTGGTACAGTCTGTGAAAACAAATTTCCAATATCAAGGACCATAAAGAATGAATCTGAATCTGAATCTAAAACACACAGACATATATATATATATATATATATATATATATATATATATATATATATATACACACACACACACACGAGAGATATATATATATATATATATATATATATATATATATATTCACACACACACACACTAGAGTTATACTTATACTCAAAAGCTGCCTTTATTTGATCAAAAATGCTGCAAAAACTAATATTGTGAAATATTATTATAATTTAAAATAAACATTTTCTATTTGAATATATTTTAAAATGTAATTTATTCCTGTGATGCAAAGCTGAATTTGCTGCTCAATAAATGTTTCTTATTATGAATGCTGAAAATAGTCATGCTGCATAATATTTTTGTGAAAACCGTGACACATTTTTTCAGGATTGTTTGATAAATAGAAAGTACAAAAGAACAGCATTTATTTAAAATATAAATATTTTTGTCCCTTTTGATTAATTTATTGCATCCTTGCTGAATAAAAGTATTAATTTCTTTCGGTTTGCCCTCAAACTTTTTAAATCTCTTGTTTCTTTTCTTATAGAGAGGGTTGTTAAATTTACCGCAGGGGCCGTTATTGATCGAGCCGGTCCGTGGCCACACCCCAAACGCCACTCATCCACGACACCCACATGTGATCTACTGGAGTCCAGCCTGGAGTGCAATCAGGCGGCGACGTAGCACTGATGCACACAGCATTCATCATAGTCCCTGTGGGGTCAAAGGTCAGATATGTTAGATGTCTAAAAATCATAATAAAATGATACTTCACCAAAAAAAAAATTTACTTTGGGGACCTCATTTGTGTGTGTGTGTGTGTGTGTCTCCGGTGCAGATGGTTCTGAGTTTTCCCAGCAGGTGGAGCAGGAGAGAGAGCGCTGGGAGCAGGATCCGCATCGAGAGTGGGAACGACCTCGGAGGATCTCCCCTCGCTCCATCAGCAAAGAGCGTTGGGTGGAGACCATGGTGGTGGGCGACTCCAAACTTGTGGACTACCACGGAAGTGGAAACGTTGAGTCCTACATCTTTACCATCATGAACATGGTAAGTGTGTTCAAGTACGTCTGGAAAGTTCATATTTACAAGTTGGTAAGTCGTAATTACGATGTCAGGTGCATTCAAGTCACTTTGGTCAGTGATGGCAATGCATAAAATTAAGCAAGATTTTTTAACTTCTACAGAATGATGAATAAAGAATGCATCAGTGTGTTTTTGCTTTTTTATGTTGTTCAATTTATGAAGGTGCTATAAATTTAATTGTTATGCATTGTAATTGCACAATACTATCATATTTTGTAGATGCAATTTAGATGTCAATACAGATGCTGCATCTAATGCACACGTCATATTTTTCACAGACACCCCCAACTTGGAAACTCACATCTGAAAGAAAGTTCACTTACACTTTATTTTGATGGTCCCCTTGTTGGCTATAAGTAACTTTGCAAATAAACGTCAGCCAAAGGCCAGATGTACTAAACAGGGCAAATTAGCGTGAGAGCACAATCCCATAAAATCGCAGACGGGACTGGAAGTTTTGCGGGTGATTTACTGACAGTGTGCAAATTAAAGAACACAGATGCAGCCGGATCGTTTCCATAATGACCAACACAACCTACCAAGAGCAGCACAAATTAGCGTAGGGTCGCAGACAAGCAAAGTCGATGATAATTCGGTGCATGTGATCCACTAGCAACACAGGCGCAAACTGGGTTAAGAAATACTTTTTGGGGGTGTTAAATAAGGGTGCAAATACCAGAAAACTGACCACGGCAAACCTTAGTAAATCATCTTGCATGATTCATTTAAATACTTGCGTCTGAAAAGGAAACTCCTACAAATGCATATGCAATAAGGTCAGCTGCAAAAATAACTATGTCCATGCCTTTTCATCACTATTGTTTCATTGCATGTCTTTAGTAAATCCTGACATTTTTTAATGCCAGAAGAGGGTTTGCGTTGATGCAAACTGTTAATCGGGCCCTAACTCTTATTAGAGTATTAGTAGAGTATTAGTGGACTGTTAGGTTAGGGTTAGAGTTAGTAGAATAAGTTGACATGCTCTTGCAAAGTTACTTATAATCAAAAGAATATCTAAAGAAGACCATCAAAATAAAGTGGTACCAAACGTTCATAGTTTCCCCCTCGCAATTACGACTTTGTGATGGTGTTTATGTGCGTAACTCGTAAATACGTCATTCCGACATGACTTGAACACAACATATGACTTTCATTGTGTAGAAAAGACCAGCTTGATAAACTTCAATAAATTGTATCTCTGACTTTCATATATAAATCTTTTGTATCACTTTTTTTTTTTGTAGGTGGCTGGAATTTTTCACGATGCCAGCATCGGTAATGCTATCCATATTGTACTGGTCCGGCTCATTCTGCTACACGGAGAGGAGGTACATATGAATCAAGGCATAATTTGCTTTACATCCAGTCCTTCCTAGCTGAACAGATTGTCTTAGACCATCGTGAGTTTCCAGGGGGTCCAAAATGATCTGTGCTGGTTAGTGCTGGTTAAACATGGACACCTTGCTGGTTATGCTTGTTAACATATGCACAAAACACAACATATGCTGTTTTTTTTTTTTTTTTAGTAGGGTTACTGGATATTATTACTACTTTTACTTTACTACTACTACTTTTATGTGTTTTCAGAAAGGGCTGAAGATCATTCACCACGCTGATACGACTCTCAACAGCTTCTGTACCTGGCAAAAAAAACTAAATCCTCAAAGTGACACTCATCCAGCACACCATGATGTCGCTATACTCATCACACGGTAAAAACACCCTGGCCCGTATATACACACTGTACATATACATACATATATATATCTTTTCCTTATTTGTATGTTTTTTTTTATATTTAATTTATTTGTTATATATGTATATATATATATATATATAGTATTATTTTTATACTATTATATATTTAATTCATTTTTGTATTAGCTTTTTATCATATTTTTAGTTTGATATTAATTTTAGTTATTTTGTTATGTATTATTGTCATTTTTATTCATTTTTGTTTTAAATATATCTTTTTAATCATTTTATTCCAATTTGTTTTAGTGTTAGTAATTTTAAAATCTAATATTTATAATATAGTATTATTTTTATACTATTATATATTTAATTCATTTTTGTATTAGCTTTTTATCATATTTTTAGTTTGATATTAATTTTAGTTATTTTGTTATGTATTATTGTCATTTTTATTCATTTTTGTTTTAAATATATCTTTTTAATCATTTTATTCCAATTTGTTTTAGTGTTAGTAATTTTAAAATCTAATATTTATATGAATGATTTCTGAAGGATCATGTGACACTGAAGACTGGAGGAATCTATGCTAAAACTTCACCTTCTACAATGGGAATAAAATATTTATATTTTAAATATATTGAAATGGAAAACAGTTAGTATTAAATTGTATTAATATTTAATTACTCTCAAGTCTATGCATTCTTGTCAAATATATACATTCTTATGGTTATAGTTATAATATGGTTATAAAATCAGTTGTCCGTTGACAAAATATCTAAATTATCTAAATAATAATATCTAAATATCTTCATCTAAATTAACTACATTTATTCAAGTCCATGAAATTATTTAATATTGCTGAATAAACCTCAGTACCCTGGAATAAACCTCTGAAACAATTGCACAATACCATTTGCATAATAATACCATTACCAAAAGATAAAGTGCTGTCAAACACACATGTGAACCTGCTGACTCTCATTTATCATAAATGTCAGTTTCTTGGTTGCAGTAATGGAGCTGTTTGTCTCTGAGCATTTAACAGACCCTAAACGCTCTCATTTCAACCCAGAACACCACAGACTGAATGACTTCACCATGTTCTGTGTCCAAGGCTTTGAGATTCTCCAGAGCTCATGCATGCTGAACACTGACAAATAAATGACTAAGAATTCAACCCCTGCCATAACTCTTCTTCAGCAGTTTTACCCCTGCAGCATGACTTTAGTAGCCTATAAATAGAATCAAAGCAGCTGTTGTGCTGTGTTGTGTCTGACCTGATGTGATCTCTCCTCTCAGGAAGAATATCTGCGCAGGCATGAATCAGCCGTGTGAGACGCTGGGCTTGTCTCACCTGTCAGGCATGTGTCAGCCGCATCGCTCCTGTAATATCAACGAGGACTCTGGGCTACCTGTCGCTTTCACCATCGCTCATGAGCTCGGACACAGGTATGTCTGTGTGGGTCATTCTCATGAAATGGTGCCATTGGTGCCTAAATATGCCATTTTTCCACCTCAGGCTCAATGTTCATGCTAAGATAATAGTTTTCTTTAAAAACTGATACAAATTTTGTTTTACAAGATGACACTCTGAAATAATAATAACAATAATAATAAAACATTTTTATTAAAAAAAGATAATCCGGTGGTTTTATGGTGGAAACGTCACAGTCTTATGTGGTTGAACAGAAATCGAAAAACAAATGCATTTTCTGGTAAAATGCATAAAGCATTTTAGAAATAATATATATTGAAAAATATATCTTTTTAAAATATTATATAATTACTTTTACTATTATAATGGCATGAAAATTGGGTGGCATTCCTATGCAACATTTAAAAAATAAAATAATAAATAAAATAAATAAATGTAAAATAAAAATTTACATTGCACACCAAACTGTTACATTTATCAAACAATGTGACTACATTAATTTACTTATGCATATCTGGTGTTATATTGCATGATTCACTGGTGAATGTTATTGCAAAGCCAAAAACTTTTCATTTTCAAGCATCCTTTTTTTTTTTAAAGGGGTCATATGACGTTGCTAAAAAATAACTTTAAAAAAATAATAATTTTGTGTATTTGGTGTAATGAAATGTTTATGTGGTTTAAAGTAAAAAAAACACATTATTTTCCACATACTGTACATTATTGTTTCTCCTCTATGCCCCGCCTTTCTGAAACTTTTTACAAAGCTCATCGGTCTGAAAAGCGAGGTGTGCTGCGATTGGCCAGCTATCCAGTGCGTTGTGATTGGCTGAATACCTCAAGCGTGTGACGGAAATGTTACGCCCCTTACCATACTGCGATGCCATGTCCCGGTGTGACCCATTATAAACGAGGCATTTGTTACATCCAGTGGGGACATAATTACAGATTATAATGAATTATATTGTTTTTTACGCGTTGCGTTGCGTATCGCGCACCGTGCCGCGTAAACATAAAACCATGTCTGCATTTGTGATCGGAGAAACGACAAACAACAAGCGCTACTCTACACTGCTCAAAACTCGCGTTTGAATCATCAGCGGCAAATCCTTTAAATGAAAACGTACTTACAGTCCGTGAGTCAGAACAGCCGGCATTGTAGTCTACTCTACCAGGAAACAGTCCTCGTCCTCCGTAAAATGTGCTGCACACATCTGAATATTTGGTTTGAACTGTTCTGGAACAGTGTTGTAAATACAACTTAACCACTGATTTCTAGTTGTGTCCTCGTTTGGAAGACCAAACAAAGTAGTTTCGCTTTCACAACAAAACACAGCGTCTCCACAACACGGCGGTGGCGGCAGCAACAATACTACAGCGAGAATAAAAGTAACGCCTTCTTTCTTTGCCTGAACATTTGGGTGGTGTTATGCAAATCTTCCCACATAGTGACATAGACATGTGGGGGCGTGTTTAAACGAGGCATTTTAGGAAGGCGTGGACAAGTCTTAATTTTTATAAAGAATATCTCTTTGGGTTTGAGACTTTAGTCTTTGCAACTTCAGGGATCTTATCTATGCACGGACAGCTTGTAACACTCCAAAGAGAAAGGAAATCTTGAAATCGCGTCATATGACCCCTTTAAATAAATTAATACCTTTCATTCAGCAAAGATGCATTAAAGTGACAGTAAAGACATTTATAATTTCTGTTTTGAATAAATGCTGTTCCTTCCAACTTTATATTCATCAAAGAATCCCGAAATAAATTGATCACAGTTTACATAAAAATATCAAGCCGCACAAATGTTTCTTGAGCAGCAAATCAGCATATCAGAATGATTTCTGAAGGATCATGTGACACTGAAGACTGGAGTAATGATGCAGAAAATTCAGCTTTGCATCACAGCAATAAATTTTAATTTCAAAATATATTCAAATAGAAAAGATCTATTTTAAATTGTAATAATATTTCACAATATTGCTGTTTTTACTGTATTTTTATCAAATAAATGCAGCCTTGATGAGCAAAAGAGACTTCTTTAAAAAAAAAATTTGAAAATCTTACCAACCCCAAACTTTTAAATGGTACTGTATGTTTAAAAAAGAAAAAAGGTGACGTCACCTTGTTTTGTGCTGTAGTTTTGGAATCCATCATGACGGTCAAGGGAATGACTGTGAGTTAGTCGGGAGGCATCCCTTCATCATGTCCCGTCAGCTCCACTATGACTCCTCTCCTCTCACCTGGTCCTCCTGCAGCAAGGAGTACATCACACGCTTTCTCGAGTGAGAACACACACTCATGTACAGGAACATGTAATTGCATGCTTTATATCTTACGTCGTACCACTAAGTTTTGAGTATTTCATACTATGATCTTCATTCATAAAGCTCTGTTATCCTCTCAGTCGTGGTTGGGGTTTCTGTCTGGATGACCGGCCATCTAAGAGGGACCTCAGCTCTCAGCTGGCAGCACCTGGAGTGCGATACACCCCCCAGCACCAGTGCCAGCTGCAGTACGGACCCAACGCCACCTTCTGCTCAGAAGTGGAAGTAAGGAGTGCATTCAAGATGAATGAAATGTGGTTCTAAAATATTTCGTTGTCTCTAATAATGAAAGGGGATCTTCAGGTTTTCAAGCCATTAATTCAGGCTCTTTTGGTTCCAGAATGTGTGTCAGATTCTGTGGTGCTCTGTAAACGGATCCTGCCGCTCCAAACTGGACTCGCCGATAGACGGAACCAGGTGTGGACCTGAGAAGGTACGAGAGGTTTACTGTACATTAAGAAAAACGTTTTGTATTACTATGCATTTAACTGTGTGTTTATGTGGGTCAGTGGTGTATCTCTGGTGAGTGTGTGATTGTAGGGAAGTTACCGGAAACAGTGCATGGAGGTTGGGGTCCCTGGAGCACCTGGTCTCACTGCTCTCGTACCTGTGGAGCCGGCGTCCAGTCAGCGGACAGGGAATGCAACCAACCCAAGTACACATCACTCTCTACTGCTGCTTCTATTCATTATTCCTTTTAGTGCTTTTCTTTTATTCATTATTTTTTTCAGTAAGGTTTTGGCAAGAAGGCATTAAATTGATCAAAAGTGATTTCTGAAGTATCATGTGACACTGAAGACTGGAGTAATGATGCTGGAAATTCAGCTTTGCATCACAGGAATAAATTATATTTAAATATATATTACAATAGAAAACAGTTTTTTAAAATTGTAATAATATTTCACAATATTACTGTTTTTACTGCAACTTTGATCAAATAAATGCAGCCTTGGTGAGCATTATAGACTTCATTTAATAGCATTAAAACTCTTACAGACCACAATATTTTAATATCAATGTGCTTATGTAGATACATAAATATACTGTAACTATATGGTAAGATTTGTTTTAAAGAAATCAATATTTTTATAAAGTATATTTTGTGTGTGTGTGTGTGTATAGAATACACTTAAAACAGTAATATTGTGAATATTATTACAATTTAAAATAACTGTTTATTATGTGAATATATTTTAAAATGTGCTTTATTCCTGTGATGACAAAGCTGAATTACACACACACACACACACACACACACACACACACACACATATATATATATATATATATATATATATATATATAATTTATAGATATGAAATAAATTATGTGCCAAGAAGATTAACAATTAAAATTTACTAATCAAATTATTTGTTTGCATTGCTTCAAAATAAAAGGTGAAGTTGAGTGCATTTCTGCCATTATCTGCTGTACTACCAGCAGAATACACTAGAGGGTCTACTACTCCTGTAACTATTTTACAAACTTTTTGGTCTGTTGTTAGGGCTCTGTCATAAATTGACTAGTGTCTTAAAACCACACCATTTTAAGTATTTAAGTAACCACTTTTGAGTCTCTTCAATTTCAGTCCCTCCGACTTCTCTGTCTTTTCTTGTACATTTTGCTGAACATGATCTGTAGCATGATTTTTGTTTCTGTGTTCAGACCTGAGTTTGGAGGCAAATATTGTACAGGCGAGCGGAAGCGCTACAGAATTTGCAACACGAAGCCGTGTGCCAGAAAACATCCCTCCTTTAGAGAGATGCAGTGCAGTGAATTTAACACTGTGCCTTACCACAATGAACTCTACGAGTGGATGCCTGTTGCAAGCTCGTGTAAGATCACTTTGCATCACATGCATCAAAATATTGCATTCAAATTTGTATATGTGCATGATATGAAATCAATATTTGTGGTCATCAAAATGTACACTACTGTTCAAAAATTGGGGGTCGGTGAGGTTTTTAAATATGTCTCTTTATGCTCACCAAAGCTGCATTTACTGTATGTGACCGAAAATACAAAAAAAGTAGTATTGTGAAATATCATTTCAATTTAAAATAAGTGTTTTCTATTTGAATATATTTTAACATGAGATTTATTCCTGTGATCAAAGCTGAATTTTCAGCATCATTACTCCAGTCTTCAGTGTCACATGATCCTTCAGAAATCATTCTAATAAGCTGATTTGCTGTTCAAGAAACATTTCTGATTATCATCAAACAAGCCCGAACCCGAACACCCTAGCATCGTAGTCGTGGCTTTTACATCGCTTGCATTTTCTTCAGAAGTTGGAAAAAGTCTAGTTGATTAACTGTTGTTTTTCTCAAGTACTGTTTGAATAAACACAACTGGCTACACAAATGTAAAGCATTTAACGTTAGTTGCACTGAAGACTTGAGAGATGAAAACATGTGCTTTCTACAGTTGAACAGCTGAGCCAAGATACTGTGTTAAAGGCAGGGTAAGTGATTTCTGGTAGCCAATGTTGATATTTGAAATCACCAAAACAAACACGCCCCTACCCCAAAAGGGTCTTGCCCCTATTTTGATAGCTCCGCCCCACATATACGTACGCAACCCAGGCAACGATTAGTTCTGTGAAACAAAGCAAAACTGGGTATGTCTTACATTCAACCCATTTGTGCTCATGTGTGCGTTGGTGTATCGATGTTATGTCTGTGTTCTGTAGCTGTACAGTAATGTATAAAAGGTGCACTTACGTGACAAATCATCTATCAAAATATCAAAGCAAGTGTGTTTATCTGTGCTGCACGAGCTTCACTAACATCTTGTTTTTTCATTATTGTTGCTCAGTGTCTTTTAATTAGCTGGTGTTTTGGTCGTTTTTAGTGGATGTATGAACTCATTTTTCCTCAAGTAAACACAGGTCTAGTTAATTACATTAACTAGGAACATGTTCCACTAACATTTCACAAACACAAAGTGGCGCAATACTTTTAGCTTCATTTCGAAACTCATGCTTCCATTGGGGTCAGTGAGATTTTTTTATGTTTTTGAAAGAAGTCTCTTCTGCTCACCAAGGCTGCATTTATCAAAATACAGTAAAACTGTAATATTGTGTAATATTATTACAATTTAAAATAACTGTTTTCCATTTGAATGGATTTTAAAATATAATTTATTCCTGTGATACAAAGCTGAATTTTCAGCATCATAAGTTTTACTACGATCGGACCGGTAATATGGAGAATCTCACCTCAGCAGGACCAACAACTGAACCGGTCATGATCCAGGTACTGAACCTCACACACGTAAACACATATGTGACCCTGGAGCACAAAACCAGTCTTAAGTCGCGGGGGAATATTTGTAGCAATAGCCAAAAATACATTGTATGGGTCAAAATTATCGATTTTTCTTTTATGCCAAAAATCATTAGGATATTAAGTAAAGATCATGTTCCATGAAGATATTTTGTATATTTCCTACTGTAAATATATTAGAACTTAATTTTTTATTAGTAAAATGCATTGCTAAGAACTTCATTTGGACAACTTTAAAGGCGATTTTCTCAATATTTAGATTTTTTTGCACCCTCAGATTCCAGATTTTCAAATAGTTGTATCTCGGCCAAATATTGTCCGACCCTAATAAACCATACATCAATGGAAATCTTATTTATTCAGCTTTCAGATGATGTATAAATCTCAATTTCGAAAAAAAAAATTTTGAGGTCCAGGGTCACATATGCCATATTACATATGGCAATATATTAAAGGAATATTCTGGGTTCAATATCAATTAAACTCTATAGACATCATGACGTTTATAAAAACAAGCAAAATTGTGTTTACAGTAATGCACAAACATTGGAAATCTATAGGGTGAGACATTTTGAAATGTAAAGCTTACAAAAATTAATAATAATAATTAAAATAATGTTTTATGGATAGCTGCATTACACCCCTTTCTGGCACAAATTAAGTTTTGTTGAGCACAGAAAAGGTTGGCATAAATACGAAAAATTTTAAGTCATTTACTACCTGTTCTTTCAAAACAGTGTGTATTTTGCTTTGACTGAAAATGCAAGTTTTGTTGTTTTGACACACTGATTAAAGAGTGTTAAAGTGTGTTATTTTCGGTGTTAATCATGGTAAACATTTCACAAATACAGCCCATTGTATTGAACCTGAATATTTATTTAATGAACCAATGGACAATTTGCGAAGAAAGCATTTTTGTTAGAATACAGAATTTTGATTTAATTAAATTCTCTTGTGAAAAATAATTTCATTATCAGCTGTTGTTCCAAGAGGCAAACCCCGGTGTCAAATATGAGTACACCATTAAGAGGAGTCGCCCACTGGGGAACGAAATTCTGGAACCAGAGCACATCTGGAAATATGGAGCCTGGACTGATTGCAGCACCACCTGTGGGTTTGGTATGGAACAAGATTTTTCTTTATTCAATCCATAGTTCAACTGTAGCGTCATTACTTATAAATAAAGGATATTTTGAGGTGTTTGTATTGATCACGGTTACTCCAGCAGGGCTTTGATAGCATGTGAGTTTCTGTCTCTGTACAGGTGAGCAGCATCAGCCCGTGCGCTGTTTTGAGGCAGAAGTTGGTGTGGTCGAGGAAACACTGTGTGACCCCAGCACACGTCCTGATGACAGGCATCGCAAGTGCAAGAACATGGACTGCCCTGCAAGGTACACTACTAAATAATGGCTACGCCCACCATATTAGTCTTATTTATTATATCTCCAGTATGTAATATGTATACTGCATATAGAATGCAGCATTTCCGTATGCATAGAGTATAGACCCAGAAGACCTACAATAATTCTCAGAATGGTCATTACACAGCAGAGTATACTATGCTGATCGACTACGTGTATAGCATAATTCAGCACTGCATTTCATTTTCAGTGTGATGGAGAACCAGAAATTATATCAACTGAGGTTTTTAAAATCTTTTTCTTGACTCATTATTTTAATTGTACATGAACCTAGATTAAAAATGCTATTTATTTTCTTCAAATAGGAAATTTTAACTTTGCCTGTTGCATATTGTTTCACATAAAATAGTAGGCCATAAAGAACGTACAGTACTGTTCAAAAGTTTGTTTGTTTTTTTTAAATAATTGAGGACGTCTTTTATGCTCACCAAGCTCACCAAGTAAAAACAGTCAAATTATGAAATATTATTACAATTTAAAATAACTGTTTTCTATTGTAATATATTTTAAAATGTAATTTATTCCTGTGATCAAAGCTGAATTTTCAGCATCATTACTCCAGTCTTCAGTGTCACATGACCCTTCAGAAATCATTCTAATATGCTGATTTGCTGCTCAAGAAACATTTCTTAATATTATCAATGCTGAAAACTGTTGTGCTGCTTCATGGTTTTGTGGACTATATTTTTTCAGAATAACTTGATTAATAGAAAGTTCAAAAGAACAGCATTTATTTGAAACAGAAATTTTTGTAAAATTATAAATGCCTTTACTATCACTTGTGATCAGTTTAATGAGTCCTTGCTGAATAACAGTATTAATTTCTTTAAAAAAAAATATATATATATATATATATATATATATATATATCTTACTGAACTCAAACCTTTGAATGGTATTAGTGTATACTGTGGAGTATGTAGTCATCAGTATGCTAGTATTCTATTCCTACATCCCAATAGTTGCATTGAATGCTCTGTGCACCTAAACTACTGACATCAGGTGGTGGGTGGGAGGATGGCAGACATGCTCGGCTACATGTGGTCCAAACGGAGTGAAAAAGCGCACTATTCTGTGTGTGCGGACTGTGGCCGGAGAGGAGCGGGTTCTTCACCCTGGGGACTGTAAGCAGCTGCTCAAACCCAAACCTGTGGTACCTTGCAACCGAGACGTACCATGTGGGTCCGAATGGACTGTGGGGAACTGGAGCGAGGTGGGTAGTTTTCTTATAAATTAACATGGTTAAAGGGGTCATATGATGCTATTTCAATTTTTCCTTTCTCTTTGGAGTGTTACAAGCTCTTGGTTCATAAAGAAGATCTGTAAAGTTGCAAAGACTAAAGTCTCAAATCCAAAGAGATATTCTTTATAAAAGTTAAGAGTCAGCCACGCTTACCTAAAACGGCTCGTTCCAACACGCCCCCACATATCTACGTCACGATGTGGGAAGATTTGCATAACTCCGAAATATTCACGCAAAGAAAGAAGGCGTAACTTTTATTCTCATTGTAGTATTGTTGCCGCTTTCCGCCATGTCCTGAAGACGCTGTGTGTTTTGTTGTCAAAGCGAAACTACTTTGTTTGGTCTTCCAAAAGAGGATGATATCCGCTTCGTCATGCCTAGAGCTGATCCGTGCTGGTCGCTGAGGGAATACATCAACTTAGTGCTGTGGATCGCCGGATCAGCTTTCACTGTGGACGAAGCGGAGTCCAGTCCGGGGTCGTCACATATGCTTGCTGCTCCTTCGTCGGATCCACCGGCTGCGCCGTTCTCAACCCCGCCGCCTCTGCTCACTCTAGCCCGGCCTCAGCTCACGCTAAGCCGGGGCTTCCGCTAGGCCGCTGTGTTTTTTTCGAGTTTTGAGCCGTGTAGAGTAGCACTTGTTGTTTGTCATTTTTCTGATCACAAATGCAGACAGGGTTTTATGTTTACGCGGCACGATGCAATGCAACGCAACGCGTAAAAAGACAGTATAAGTCATTATAATCAGTAATTATGTCCCCACTGGATGCAACAAATGCCTCGTTTGTAATGGGTTTTAATGTTTTTGTCTCGTCGCTCCGGCTGGGACACGGCATCAACAGTATGGTAAGGCGTTTAACATTTCCGTCACACGCTTGAGGTATTTGGCCAATCACAACGCACTGGATAGCTGGCCAATCACAGCACACCTCGCTTTTTCAGACCGATGAGCTTTGTAAAAATCGACGCGTTTCAAAAAGGCAGGGCATAGAGGAGAAACAATAATGTACAGTATGTGGAAAGTAATGTGGTGTTTTTACTTTAAACCGCATAAACACATTTCATTACACCAAATACACAAAATAATGTTCTTTTTAGCAGCATCATATGACCCCTTTAATGTACTTTATATTCATCATGGTGATGATAAAAAAATGGGAGTAGGGAAAATTTATATTTCAATGCTTTTGTATTCCCCCAAGAAATTTTTTTTCGCTGGTAAGATTTTTGCATTTGCTCATAAAACTTTTGTGCACCCCCAAGAAACATTGCGTTCACTCACAAATATTTAGCATTCCTTCAAGAAACATTGCGTTCACAAAAACGTTTGCGTTTTTTCACAAAATGTATGCATTCCCTCGAGAAACGTTTTTTCTTAAAACTTTTGTGATGGAAATACTGTAATGAGGTGTGACTATATTTCAGATCTTTTGTGGGCAAACAGGAACGCAAATGTTTTGTGAGAGAATGCAAATGTTTTGCAAGCGAATGCAAAGTTTGACAGGGGAACGGATTGCTTTTCCTCAAACACAAATGCATTGAAATATAATTTTTCCTTCCATCTAATATTTTTCTATCACCATGTCCTCTTAGTGGCTCCGTATCATGTTTTGTAGATTGTTTTCAATTGTTTAGGGTTTAAAACATTTTTAAACACCCTAAAAATTTTAATTCTGTGATAATTTCCTTACCCTCATTTTGTTTCATATGACTTTTTCTTACAATTTGACATACTTTGAGCTATGACACTCATAAGGACAGTAAAAGTCATAATACTGTTCATAAAACTTGTATATACAGTATATATGATTTGTGCATTATTTCAAGTCATGTAATAGCCTTGTGTGAGGAAGAGACCGAAGTTCAAGTTAGTTGTTCAATGAAAATCTTTTGTCTGTCAAAACTCAGTCGTGCATGTACATATTCATAGTGGCGTTGCACGATTAATCAAAATAAAACCGAATATTCAAAATGGCTTAGTGCGATTATCAAATTGCAAATGCTGCAATTTAATTAAGTAAATGAATGCCTGGATTGTTATAGAGAGAAGCACAGCATTGTGTTAAGACAGCCATAAATATTAGTATTGTAATTTCACAATTGTAATGTAAAATTATTATATTGTTTCTAAAATACTCAATGTATTTTTTTTTACAGTGCAGCCCTGATTCATGCATAGTAATTAGTTGCATTGTCATATTATTTAATTTTTGTGTTACCCAAACTTATGATTGCGTGTCATCCCGCAGTGCTCTCTGTCCTGCGATGGAGGGATAAAGTCAAGAGTCGTCAAGTGTGTGGCAAAACAACCCGGCCGGTGCAACCCTGCGGCCAGAACCTGCCCGACGATGTATCCTGCGACCCTGTGCCACCTGGAAGAGTGGTAACTGGTCCAAGGTAAAGCTACGATTTCAAAACAAACTTAAATGACTGTATCCTGCAATGAACTGTGACGTCCCCCTTTCTTTTAGTGTCCTGAAGGCTGTGTGACTGATACGAAGCATCGAGAAGTGCAGTGCTTCGACACTCAGAGCAGACGTCCATTGAGGCCTTTTCACTGTCAGGCTCTTTCATACAAACCAAACAGCAGTTTGCCCTGCAACACCCAGCCCTGCCTGCAGTGGATGTTCTCACCCTGGGGAGAGGTGCACATACTCATGCTACAATGCAGAAAATACTGGTCATATTTTTTTTTTGTTCATATTTTGAGTTAGTTTTTATGTTTTCTGTTTAAATTGTGTTGTCTTTTTGTTAATTTTTGTTTTTAGTGTCATTGATATACTATATTATAGTTTTTGTTATTTTGAATTCGTTTGTGTGTGTGTGTGTGTGTGTGTTTTTTTTAGTATCATTGATTTACTATATGTGACCCTGGACCACAAAACCAGTCATAAGGGTAAATTTTTTAAAATTGAGATAAAATTGAGATCTATACATGATCCGAAAGCTTAATAAAATATGCTTTCCATTGATGTATGGTTTGTTAAGATACAGCTATTTGAAAATCTGGAATCTGAGGGTGCCAAAAAATCTAAATACTGACTAAATCGCCTTTAAAGTCGTCCAAATGAAGTTCTTAGCAATGCATATTACTAATCAAAAATTAAGTTTTGATATATTTACAGTAGGAAATTTACAAAATATCTTCATGGAACATGATCTTTACTTAATATCCTAATGATTTTTGGCATAATCGATAATTTGATAAAAATCGATAATTTTGACCCATACAATGTATTGTTAGCTATTGCTACAAATATACCCCAGCGACTTAAAACTAGTTTTGTGTTCCAGGGTCACATATTATTGTTTTTGTTATTATTTTGAAATTTTTTTTTTCATCTTAATTTTAGTTAAAGTTTTAGCAATTTTGTTGTGTTTTTGTCATTTTTATTACTTTTTGTTTTTAGTATCATTGATATACTATTATAGTTTTTGTTAATATTTTGAAAGTTTTTGGTTTTTATATTTTCACTTTAATTTTAAAGTTTTTTGTATTTTGTTTTGTATTACTTTTTGTTTTAGTACTATTATGCTTTTTGTTAATATTTTGATTTTTAAAATATGTCTACTATATATAGTTTTTATTAATTTTTATTTACTAGTTTTAGTTCTTTTTGGTTTTTTTTGTTTTTTTTTGTTTTAATTATTTTAGTACTTTAAGTTAAAATAAATAAAAATGAGAAATGATGCCCTGGCAACTAGCTGCAATATATATATATATATATATATATATATATATATATATATATATTAATATTTAAATTTTATTTCAGTTAACATTTACTTTACAAGGAAAACTTTGAAAAGTTTTTTAATAAATGTTTTGTTTTTTGATGGTTTTAGTTTTAGTTAACTCTAATAAAGTTCTGACAGTTTTGTTTCTTGTGATTGACAGTGCTCTGAAAGCTGTGGCCGCGGAGTGAAGGAAAGACGTGTGTACTGCCCTGAGTACCAGCGCTGCAACGTCACGCTCAAACCCAACAGCACTGAGTCCTGCAATCTGCAGCCCTGCACCAGCTGGGCGACTGAAGCCTGGGGTCAGGTAGCGCACTGCCAAAACCTCAGTGTTCATTTGTAGAAAGGAGTAAATATAGTGTCTGGCTTAATATTGTGACAAATGCAATGTGATGATGGACACTACTTTTCAAAAGTTCAGGCTTAGCAGGATTTTTTAAACAAAATTAATAATTTTATTCAGCAATGATGCATTAAATTGATCAAAAGTGACAGTTAAGATATTTATAAGGTTACAAATGAATTACCACCCCCAAATCATTTGAACTGTAGTTGATTTCCTATTAAAACAGAAAGTTGGGGTGGGATGAATCAAAGACTAACCAGCTATAGTTTCCATTCCATTATTTGTGACTTGCCGGTGTTAGTCTGAAGTATGTGGTATTTATAATCAAGTGGGCGGGACGTTCTCATTCCAAAGAGCATTTTATTGGACCAAAATTGTTATACGCCCCTCCCTGAGCATGTGTGATGTCATCACGGTTTGACAGTGCTCCAGAAGCTGTGGTGGAGGCGTTCAGAAGCGAGCGGTGAGGTGCATAAGTGAGGAATCCGGCGAGGAAGAAAAGACATCACTCTGTGCAAAAAACAATAAACCTGACAGTGTGCAGAACTGCAGCCCAGAGGAGTGTAAAACTGATTTAGGTAAACTCTATTATTTAATATTATGTTCTGTTAGTTTCATAATTGATGATAAGCCTACAGTGGCCTCTAAATGCATTTGGACACTTAAAAATGCCTGAATGTCATTGCATTTGATAAAAACAATTTCAAAATATGAATCAAAACTAGTATCTCGATGATACTATAATAACACCGATTGAGTCAGTTCTCCTTAAGTTCACACAGGTGACCTAGCAGAGAAACCACAGGTGTATTTCATTACATTAACTATCAACATGATCCACTAACATCCTGATCCACTATCAACAGGTTATTTTACTAAAACCCAACCAACTTCTTTTTCAGTCTTTGAGCTTAATAAACGTTATTTGGTTTAAAGGGGTGGTTCACTGGGTTTTTTCTAGGCTTGATTGTGTTTACGGGGTGCAGTCTAACATGTGTTAATGCTTCGTTTAAAAAAAAAACCCGCATTATTTTTCACATAATTTACCTTTATTCCACGCAGCTCTGTCCCTTCCCTGAGAAACGGCCTGATCTTTTCCTGTTTTTATGAAGCCCCGCCCTCAGAAATAGGCGATGGGCTCTGATTGGTTAGCGAGCCCAGTGTGTTGTGATTGGCTAAACCGCCTCTAGTGCGCGTCTTAACGTCCTGCCCCTCACCTCAGCGGCATGTGCTCCGGTTGTATTATAAACAACGGCATCGTTAATATCGCTTATCAGTTTGAGCTCGATTGAGACGCAGAGGATATTAGTGAAGAGGATCGTGCAGAACCTGTGCAATCACGGCTTTTAATGGTAGGCCTATGTTTTTTGTTCGTTGTTGTCTCATACTTTTAGATACGCTGTTGTAAATGCTACTGCTTATTTTAGCTTTTAATATACGGTTTTATCCTGATTAAAGCTTTAATACAGTACAGCAGCTGCACGCGCGTCCATGTTTAACGCTTCTCATAGCTATGTGAAAATAAGAGTATAATTGTAACAGTTCATTACTGGAGCTGAGCTGAATGACAGAGAGAGAGAGAGAGAGATGCGGAGCGCATGCAGAGCAGGGCGACGCGAGGGACAGTATTGAGAACCGCTGCTTTAGAACATTGATTTTGAAACTTGTGAATCCATTAGAATCGTTAGAAGACAGAATCGCGATTCATTTATGAATATATTTTTATGTGCTCCTCTAGTTTTCTCTTCCTCTTCTCTAAAGCAGCGCAGCATGGCCTCGCCCCCTTTGCTGCCTTTTCCCGAGGGTGGGGTTTATCTGGGTTTGTGATGTCTCGAACCCGGGAAGTAACTCGTTGTAGTCCCTACCAGCTGTTTTTGTAGGCATTAAACTGCCAGAATTTTAAAAGAGGATATCTCCGTTTGCATTGAACTTTCAGCTTCGTAACTTTGCAGATATTGTTTGTTCAAACAGCAACATTACACACTAACTAACGTTAAAAAAGTGAAATCGGAATGAACCACCCCTTTAATATTTTGTTATCTAATGCAATGACAATTTATACATCTTTAAGCATGGCTTGCATGTGCCATTGTGTTCCATTTTTATCCATGAAAAATGTGGTCTTTTTGTGCAAAACACCAAAAATCTTTTTCCCCAAGTACATACAAAACAACATTCTGGAAAATATAAAGTTGTGCTAACATAAATAATTTTAATATACCATCCCATGGCTTTATAGTTTATTTTTAATGTTAAAGCCCTTTTTTGTTATTTTGTTTCTCTTCTTTGCAGGCCTAGTTTGTAAGAAAAACAGCATGTCGACACGTTTCTGTGAGAAACTCAAGCTGCTGGGTCGCTGCTCGCTGCGCTCGATCCGCAAGCAGTGTTGTGTCACTTGTCTGATGTAACACTGCAGAGGTCAGGCTTGGGTCATTAACCAAAAGCACAAACTACTGGACACACTGCACGCAGAGGTTCATGGTGCTCTAGAAACACAGACGTCCCTCTCAAATATATGAAAAATATGTGGGTTTTACTTGAACAAAGGAATCCTTGGCTTTTGACGATGTGTTCCCTCCATTTGTCTTTAAATGCGTCTTGAAATAATTCCAAATACTTCAAGCTTTAGTTACAGGATTCAACATCAGTTAGACAGTTAACCTATATGTTATTTTTTGCACTCATTTTGGACTTTTTGTTGTTGTTATTCTTCTTTTTAACCCAAGTCAAGAACTGGTTGAGCACACAGCAAGACACCCGTCTTTACCAACCCACTTTATATATATATATATATATATAT